TGCGGATTTTTTTTAAATTAAATGTTATTTTTTTTGGCCTTAGTAACCCACATTTGAATAATAAATGATTTGGTGAGCCAGAATCGACTTCTGTATCAAATGAAAAGCAGTTAAAATAAAATCACATTCGTAATATAGTTTATCTTTTAGTAAATCCGATTTGCTTTTAATGCAATTTGCTCTAGTTATGGAAATCTATTTAAAGTGGTGCGGCAAATTGATAATAATAATGTGATAAGCTGCATATTTTAGTCTTAAGCACGAAATGCTTTAGCGTGGATGAAGCAATTTAAAAAGGAGCACTATAAAACCTAAGCAGAGCTAAATATTAACTGAAATTTAAAATATTAAATACGTTTTCTGAACACTGAAACTGTATGCTTTGAATCTATAATCTTGAATCTGATTAATTTCGAAATTCACATAAAGTAAAAAATTAAATTAAATAATACAAATATTTTTTATTTACTGACAACTATCAACTTAATACTTTAAATCTATAATCTTCAATCTGATTGGTTCAAAAATTTACATACAGTAAAAAATTCTGTAATTCTTGCTGAAATATGTATGTTAAGCATGACCTCTCTCTCTCTTTCTAAGCTAACATAACATAACATAATATCTCACTTTCCTATATAATGTTAATCTGCAAGAATGACACAAAGCTGCTTGTTATGTAACTGCTCAATAAACATTTTAGCACTCGAAAGTATGTTTGCCTTGGCTAAGAAAACTTAAATTCGTTTTTTTTAAGTATTTTAATTGTATGGGCTAACAAAGGAACAAAAAGAAGAAAAATAAGAACAAGAATATTATGTAGAAGAGGAAGAAAAGATTGCAGCATTCAGAGACCAGCGGCAACAAGTGTGAATGCGCTGCCAACAATGACAACAATTGCAACATATTTTCCATCGATAAGTGCGTTCGACCGTTACATACACACATATACATATACACACATGCCCCCCATACACACATATACATATACATATATACATACGCATGCAGAACTAAATCCATATTTTATGATGCAAACATTGGCAAAGAGTTTTGCTTGAATTGCCAAAGGGGAGACTTAAGCCAGGTCAATACCAGGAGCAACTAACCTAAAAATACCCTGTAATTTGTAGTATAGAGATAGAGAGAGAGAAGGAGAGAGGATGCAATTGGAAATGATTTTGTATGACTTGAATTGTAAGAGATTAAACTCCCACAAATATCCTCTATATTCATATATAAAAGGGCAAATCAACTACATATATGGAATATGGAAATTTACATCGAAAACTTAGCGTGAAGTATACCAAAAACTTCCTGAATAGAAACGTTATGGTATATAAGCTACGGGGCATCAATTGGATCTGCTCCTAATTCGAAGACATATTTGAATTATTCTTCCTATAAGAAATATCAAACAGTTATACTTCGTCTCAAAATATTAAAACAAAACATTTTCTTGTTCACAAAATACAAGTAAGAACAATTAAAAAATATATTTATAAAATTTAAAAATATATTTACATATTTTTTCAATTATAAAAATATGTTTACGATTATTTTCTATGAGTTGTAAATACATTTAAAATAAAATATTTCGCAATGTAAACATCATCAAACATATTTTTGTATTTTAATATAATTTCATTTATATTTCTTTTAAGCACTGATATGCCCCGTTGCACTTAGCTTCAGTGTAGGGTATATGCAAGCAGTTAGATGCCGCCCACGCTTGTTACCAATGCATGGCCACGCCCATACGCCCATACGCCCACACACACGCACGCATAGACTAAATAGTTTATGTTGTTTACCAGGCAGCTTGCAGCAGTTGTTGTTGTTGTTGTTGTTGTCGTTGTCGTTGCTGCTGCTGCTGTTGTCCTGCACTTTGGCATTAAGCAAAAGCGCCTGAGCTTCGGCAAGGATGCCAATGCCAATGCGGAGGGAGGTGAAGCGGCAAAACACGTAGCGAACGCCATCGAGCGGCATTCATGTGCACTGTATGCGACTTAACTGGCAGCGGGGCAGGGGGCGTGGCATGTCCTGCTATTTGACTGTCCTGGTTACCATTGTTGTCCAGCTGGCTTCTCCAAGCGCCCGCATCTGAAATTTAATAGAAAGAAAAGAAAAACTAATAGAAGGAAGGAAAAGCACGCAGCATCTCGTGCCTCTACTATTATTCTTCTTCTTGCTTAGCCTTTCTCTTTTGAGTGCTGCACAGTTGATAAGAGACGTGTTAATGCAGTGCTTAAATAGGTGGAGAATCTATTCCAGAATATTTGTATTTTTTTCCCCCATTCAAAAAGAACAAAAAACTAAACTATTGTCACAATATTTTATTTATTTATAAACGGCATTTTATATTATTTTACTTGTCGCTATTTTGATTTTTATTCATCTATATTATTTTTAAATATAATATAAAATTTCTTGTTTTTGAACAATTCAAAATAACGTTTATTGTAATTAACATAGCTAACCATACACTGTTAATGCTAAGCCCAATGGCTGTTAGAGTAACTCCACTGTTGTTTAACAGCATACTGTTAAAGCATTTGCGGCGTCTGCATAAAAATGCAACGAGTTGCAGAGAGCTGTTGAAACACAAACGTTGTTGCGCGTGGGTGAGCGAGAGCGAAGTGAAAAGAGTAAAACGTGCGTTTAAGAGCAGAGCAAAGTACTTCCACTCTTTGCTTAACTTAACTGACAATCAGTGGATTTATCGATAAAATGGGAAACTATAAAGAAATTAAGGAGTGCATAATATTTATATAAGTATTAAATGTTTGTTAATTGTGCATACAAGAACAGCGAATATAAATATATATTTTAATAAAATACATTTTAATTACCTTTAAAATTTTTAGGAAGAATATAATATAATCAAAACTGTAAATAAATAGTACATCTACACAATATCAACAAACAAATTTTAACCAAATAGCCACATATTAGTTCTTTTATAACCCGACATATTTTGATCACCCTTTCACCACTGTGCACAATTTTTGCCAGTCACAAACAACAAAAACAACACGCTGAGCAGAGCGCGCACACACAAGCACACAAAATATACATGCGTATGTTTATGTACATTGAAAACGACGCTCCGGCGCTCATTACAACGCTGAGTGGGAGAGTGGGAGCGAGAGAGCAACCGTATTTCACTTGCGCGCTCTGGTTACGCGCTCTCAGCAAGCACAGCAGGCAGCCGTCAGCCGCCAGGCAGCGGCAGCACTTGCGTTGCGTGCGAGTTTGTGTGTTTGTTCCGTTCGATTTGTGGCTGCGGCTGTGGTACGAGGTGCGCAGGCTTGTAAAAGAGAGCGTGCGTTTACACGAGCGAACGAGCGTGTATATGCCGGACTGCTCACACACAATGTGGCAAATGTGGTTTTTTACCGCTGAGCGCGCCGCTCATTTTCTCAGTACGAATTGAGACACTGTGGCGCACGGTTGAAAACCTTTTCAGTAGCAAGCAGCAGAAAAGCGCACACGAGAAATCCAAATCCAAATCCAACAACAACAACAGCGAGAGACGGCAATTTGTGTGTGTATTGTTATAATTGTATTGTATATGTGTTTATATACACTTACGTGCATGTGTGTGCATTTTGCATATAGCCATCAATTTAAATTAAATACTTTTTTTGGGCTTAATTAAATACTTCCGCGCGCGTCGTCGTTCTCGTCGCCGCGCCAGTTTTTCCATTGCGTGCGGCTGTATTCGCTCTCTCGCCTCGCCGCATTGACGTCGACGTCACACAACCACACATATACACTCACACACACACAAACAGACCAGACACTCTCTCAAACACACACACACATATAGCACGCAAACACGTTCGCATAACTCTCTCTCGAGCTCGATTGTTGCTGCTCTCGTTCTAGCAACACTCTCGCTGCTTTTTTTGGGTGCCAACTATCTCTGTCGGTTGTGTCACTGCCTCTGCTCTGTTGTTGCTGTCTCCGTCTGGCCACCGTGTCGCATTCGTTTTGTTTGTGTTGTATTAAAAAGGGCCGCCGAGAAGTAAGCAGCAAGCAGCGCGGACACGCGATAGTCGTAACAAAACAACAGCAAATAATCGTTTGCATTCGAATTTAGACAACAAAAAAAAGCAACAAACACTATTTATATTAATTATAATTAAAGTGCAGTAGCAACAATATAAATTGCAGTGCGGAGTATATATACAAACAAAATAGAAAACATCGACAACAACAGCCAAAACACAAGGTAAGCAGAAAAGCCGACGCCTAACGGGTGAAAGTGTTATTTTACCGTTTCATTGTGCCTGCACTTGCAACGAATTGCATACATATGCAATTATGCACATGCATACGGTTATTACGTGCTTACGTGTGTGCTCGTGCGTGTCTGTGTGTGACTATGTGTCTCTGGTTTGTGCATTACAAATATCTTTGCTGAAAAGTTTGTAAAGTTTTCTTAGCGCGTCGTTTGCTTTGCTATTTTGCTTCGCAGCAACAACAAAACGTAACCGGTAGGAGCTCGCTTTGCCACCCACGAAATAGCCAAACAAAAAGGGCAGCATAAAAAAAAGCACAAGGTACTTTTACTCTTGGCTGTCTACCTCTCCCTCTCTCTCCAATTTATGCTCTCTCGCTGGCGTTGTGCCGCTCTTATGCTGTAGTCTCTCTCTCCAATTGCAACCCCTATCAAAACGCGTGCAGCTGCTGCTGTTGCTGCTGTTGGTGCTGCTGCTATTAACAGCTACCTGTGCGACGTGCGTGAGCCAACTCTCTTTCGCTGCCACTGTCGCTGCTTACGCTTCGTATTTTTGCTGCACACGACAAAAAGAGCCGACGTTGACGTTTGTGAACGGCTCTCACAGGTTTTCATTTCTTATTTGACCGTCATTCGCCAGCGCGGCGCCGAAGTGTACAACAGCAGAAGTCTTCAATATAACGGATGAAAATCACTTTACACACCACAGAAACACACAAAAATAATACAAATTACAAAGAAAAGAAAATAAATAAATAAGCAAATCAAATTAAAATCAAATAAAAACGCAGTTACAATTTTCCTCACATATTCGCATATGTATGTGTCTGAGAGCGAATTTAATTGTCAATTGTCAAAGTTAACTGTAAGTAGGCGCCGTCTAACTGTCATTGCAAATACCAAAGCCCATTGACAGTTTAAAATTTACAGAGTGCAGTTTTTCTTTCGCAACAATTAACAAAAAGACAAAAAAAAATTTAAATTTAATTAAATTAATTAAAAAAAAAAAAAACTTTGAAAATAATTACAAACAAAACACTTTGTGCATTTAAAATTGTTAATACCTTTCAATTATGGACTTATAAAAAAAAAAATAAAACAAGTCTGTAAATTCTAGCCATATTCATAGAGTGGAAAACAAAAACAAGAACTGACAAATTCAACAGTTTCTAGCAAAATTAACTGTTGTTCGCCGCCATTTTCAAGTGTGGTAAATCGCAAAAGAAAATTTGTGAATGTGTGATTGTGTCCCTGTGTGCGTGTGTTTAAAAAGTTCGTTCGCTTTTCCAGCGCGCGGCTTTTTTTGTGTGTTTCATTAATGAAAAATCAACCCCCGGCATTTTTGGCCAAGCGAGCGCCCCCACAAACAAAGCAGAAATCAACAGTGGCTGCCGCCGCCGTCGCCGCTGCCGCTGTGCTGCTTCTTCTTCGTCTTCTGTTTCTTCATTCTCTAGCAATTCTATTTTCCCATTTTCCCTTAAGGGTTGCAGCAAACAAACAACACAAAATAATAGAAAGAACTAAGAAGGAAAAATAGCAACAACTTTTTCAAGTTTACTTTTCTACGCGGTTTTGCCGCTTTTCAAAGTTTATACGCTGCTGGCCGTGTTTCATTTCCATTTCGTTTTTCGCCATGCACATTTGCTGCTGTTTCGCTGTTGCTTCCTCTGCCACACACTTGTCAAATTGTTCGTCTGTGTGCTTTGTTACAGCTATCCGTTTACAGCTATCCTTCGCATTCATTTTGACATTTTTCGGCCATATTTCTTTAATTTTTCTTCCTTTCCAAACGTTGCCGTTTTGCCGGCGCTTTTTGGCAGCGGCTGCTGTTGCCGCCGTTACCGTTACTTCTTCTTCTGCTCGTCTTTACGAGGGTTGTTTCTGCAATTCACGTCTCTCTGTGTGCGTGTGCCCGTGTCTGTGTATTGTGTTATTGTCTGCTGTTGCGACTGATTTATGCTCTCGCGTCTCCAATTAGAATGAATTCCCCATTGTTGCAGCATATCATAAAAATATATAACAAAAATTAAACATAAAAAATATATATATATGTATATATTATCAGATTAATTACACTATATATTTGGCTGTTATGAAAAGCTTCCTGTTGCTTTAATAATATTATTCAAACAAGATTTTGTTATGCTTGCCTTAAATTCTGAGACATAACTGCACAATATAATATTGTAAATTAAAACTATGAATTTTTATTTTTTTTTGTCGCATATTTGTATTAGTTATGTATTTTATAATAATATGATTTATCTTCAAAATTAAATGCTGCACATATACATACATATGCTGTGCCTCTAGTATTATTTCCATATTTTCCTCTTGCGTATTTTGCCATATGTTTACAACTAACTATTGTTTATATATACATATATTTGCGCTAAACAATATACACATAAAATTATCTACATCTGGCATATATAATATTTTCTTTTTGTTTATTGTTTAGCTGATAAGTTGAAATTTGCCTATTTGAATAGGCCAATCGGTATGATTGATATGATTGCTGATAATTTAGTGTCTAATTGAGCATAGTTCTGAGATAAAATAAATGATCGACTGTAAGATAAAGCACACGATACATAGTAACTGTATATCATTTCTTTGGCCTTTCATTTGCATGAACTATATAACTTATAAAGGCAATAAATTCTGAATGATATATTTGCATGGTTATAAATATAATATTTGTTTATATTTTGCTTAGAGAATTCCTAATGCAAATAAATATTTTTTATATAAAACGTGTATTTTAATTTATATAAATATTTATTTTACTAGCGAGGTTGTACACTGGAAAGGCTCGTAACAACAATTTGCTTGACCTATAAAAAAGAAGAACAACATTTACCTATAACATTATTTTCAATTATATATTAGAAAGTTTTCCCCACATTTACCACAATTTGCATTGGCGATTTTCACTCAATGTGTCTGCAATGTTTAGATATTTTTCTTTCAATTCACCTGTTTTATTAACCTCATTTTTATTCTCTTTCTTTTCCTGCCTATTTGCAGCTGATTCTACAAACACCACACAAAGCAAGCGATTAAAATTAAATCTCGTTCAACACGCAAATTGAAAGTGCAATAAGAAGAAGAAGACGACGAAGAAAACGTCAAATGCGGTTGAAAGTTCAAGTTGATGCAATAAGTGTTTGAAAACGGAAACAGAGCTAAAAATAAAATCAACATTTCAATACCTATATATATATATATCGATAAAAATATATATATATATTCACAACTCTTCGAATTCGGAGGAGCTTGGAAAATCGCGCGCGAGTTTAATCAACATTTTTAGCAATCAATTTTTGTCTCCCCCTCTCACCCCAAATACAAGTTTTGTGGAGTTTCGTGTCAGGTGCATAAATTCTGTGTTACGTTCGGCGTTCTCAAGTGAAAGTCACACAGCGAAAGCGACAAACACCCTCACACACTCAAACACAAGCTAACACGCATATATTCTAACACACACTCACACACATACACATTGACAGAAACACACACACACCCACGTGAGTGTGCATCGCATCAGATTGCTTGTTGTCCACTAAACTAAATTGTGAATTGTGTGCAAATAGGCTGCGGCCAGAAAGTAAACGTCAAGATTCTATCGAAAAAAACACTGCTCAGCACGACGGAGGCTTCGTTCAACTATAACACGGCGACCACAATGCCCTATAACGGTGCTAGCAACGGCAGCGGTGGAGTCGGCGGAGCCGTAGCAGGCAGCAGCGTTAGCGGTGGCGGGGCCACCATCGTCGTCAGCGAGGGACCCCAGAATAAAAAGATACGCACAGGCGTGCAGGCCGGAGATAACGACGTCACCATGCATTCACGGGTAAGTGCCATCAATGACATAACACACATCGATAAATATCGATATACGATAGGCAAGTTTCTAAATAAAACAGTTGATCAATATAGGCAATATAAAATAGAGAATGATTAATAGTGCAGCAGAATAAATGTGTTATCGATAGATATCAATCGATAACAAGTATATACACAGAGTTAAAGCTTTCGATAACGTGTTACTTATACATATCGATATATTTGTAATATTTATTGAAAAGTATTTCCATTTTTCACTCACGAATTTCGTAATTTAAATCTAGAAAAGATTTAAAAATTCAGTGTGAAATAATTTATCAATAAATCTGAATGATCAATATACAACGTACTGATTCGATATACAATTCTTATGAATTGCATATAAGACCCTACATTTTATGCGCCTTAATAAGAAATAATCGATTGGCTTAATTTGTTTCGATACATGATATCGATCACAAATATATACTAAACTTTCTCAAGCGCTCAGCTAGTAATTATTTCTTTACATCGTTAGTGAGTGGTTTTCGTATGTTATCATTAGGAATATTTCCCATCAAATTGAACCACCCCACGGAATATCTGATAATAATTACCTGCGAAACGACTCGATAGCCTCGTGCTTGGGCTCCACTTCAGCCACCCCTATCAGCTAACGATTGCAGCACACACATACATATATGTATGTAAACACACACACACACACATTCATCTATTGGCTTAGTTGTTTCATTCAATCAGTTTTTGGGGTAAGGCTCTCACCCCAAACTTTGCCCAGAGCCCGCACCCTTCGGCTGATATGTCAAAGGGGATGGCGGCGGCAAAGAGCCAGAAGCAGAACCAAAATTCTATTCCTGATAAAGTTTTCGACCATAACTGTAGTTGCTTTTGCTTGTTGTTGTTATTTTGGGGGTTGAAGTGCAGTTGGCAAGTGAGACTCGCTCTTGAGGCTATCAACCAGCAGCAGCAGCACCAACAGCAGCAAAAGCAGCAGCAGCAGCAGCGAGTACTTTCTGTACTTTCTGGTCTTTTTTGATTTTCGACTGTCATATGAATTACATTTGGTGCAACGCGACAGCAGAAAGGGGTGCTCTCTCACATTATTTGATTTACATTCAAGTTTTCTAACGGTTGCCAAGGACGGCAGCAAATGTTATTCATTGCGATTGCGATGCCATTTATATTTTTATCCGAATTTTCTCAATGTCAAAGGCAAATACATAAAGAGGCTTACGTTGAACGGGTTAAAAAAAAAAAAAAATATTATTTTTTATGTCTTAAAATATACGAAAAACCATTATGCTCTGATTTCATATTTTCGATTCGGGATTTATAACGTATAATTGAATAAATCAAATATAAGTTATTATAAAAAAAAAACCCAAGATAAATAATTAACTTTACATTGAATTGAAAAAAATAAAATAAAAAATAAAAAAATAAAATAAATAAAATAATAATTGTGCTACAGAAATAATATTTGATCTTTTAAGACATAAGACAAAATGAAAAATATAAATTATTATATATTAATAATTTTAAATAAATTGTAAAGACATAATAACTTTATTATGATATATATAATAATTATAATATATTTAGTATTATATATATTATATTTATACCACTATTAATTATTCGACCTTAAACATTTTTTATTTTTAGCATAATACCTTTCGAGAATTTATAGTGATTCCATACTTTTCTCGTAATTTCTCAACTTGTATTTATATTTCATTCACTCGTCAAGCTAAGAACTATTTCTGATCCTCAATTGCATTTCAACGTTCAGTTTTCAATTACCGCTTGAATTTATTTTTTAATGCTGATCCCACATTTTCTAGCACCTCTTTGGGTTCAGTTTAAGCTTCTTCAAAATATATGAGGAAAAATTGTAACCGTTTAACCCGTCAGCGAAGTGCAGTTAAGCGTGTTGAACTTTTACATAAGATTTTGTTTTAGCGCATCCGTCGCAGGCCAAGTGCACTTAATCACAGGGAAGTGTTGGCCAGGATGCAGGACGCGGCATAGAGAAAGAGTGGGGGCGAGAGGGAAGGAGGGAGAGTGAGAGAGATAGAGCGAGAGAGAGTGACAGTCAGTCAGGTGTCCATGGTGTCACGTTTTGGGGCGACAGATGCGCTGCTTCTGGCAAGGCACGTACGCAGCTCGCGGCGCCGTTGTCAGAGAACATAAGCGAAAAAGGAAAAAGCTTAAACGATGCCAAGTGGCAAGCGGGCTCAGGCTTGGCCTGGCCTGGCCTGGCCTGGCCTAGCCTGGCGTGCTCTGAGGCTCGCAACTACAGCGAAAGGGCCAAAGAGCAACATGGCCAAAACCCTTCAAATGTTGAGAAGATGCTGCTTCATGTGCTAATTGCACTGTCAGCTTGAGTGTGTGTAGGGCAGAGAAAGAGCGAGAGAGACAGACAGTGAGAGAATGAGCGCAGACGGAAGCAACAGCTCAAATGCCAAATGAGACAGACACGCACGCACACACACTTAGCCACATCCACGCCCACACTCACACGGGCATAGCGAAATTTGTTGCATACTTTGCCACAACAACAAAAATTTCGCCGCATTGAAAATATTTTCGCATCGAATTTCAGGCCATTGAACAGTTTCACATTTGGTTTACACTTTGCTCTATCGGCTCTCCTAATGTATATATATGTATGCATATTCATATGTATGGGCGAAAAAGTAGACACCAAAACAAACAACAACAGAATTTTTATCGGCATGCCGAGATAAAGCGCCGGCAACAACAACAGCAGCAGACACACAAAAATTTGTAGCTCGAGCAGACGCCGCTGGCAGTGGCCAAAATCGATTTTTCCAACCCTCAACATGTGGCACAGCCGGCCCTTGCCTTTTGGCTCTCTGTCTATCTGTCTACCCGTCTAGTGCCAAAAGGCGACGCGAATAGCAAAACAAATGCGACGACAGCCGACTCTCTGCAGCATTGGAAGTTTGTCAAAGTTCTGGCAAAGACAGCGTAAGGTCAGAGAGCGAAAGAGATTTGGTCCGAAGTAAATAAAATAAAGTTCGAATTTGTGTGCGATATGCAATATGGATAGGTCTAATAATAACTTATGTTAACAATCGATACAGACATAGCGAAAAGAGAGAGGAAATATTGATAATGTGTGGAATCAGCAATCAGCTAAAACGATTGCCCACATAGAACATCCGTAAAAGCAATTTAATTATGTTTTTGGGTATTTTACAACACTGAAAAGAGTATTTAAGCGAAATATTTAAACGCACTTTGCAGCATTGTCGCGGAAAATCGAATGTCTAGAGTAATCTTTGTTATCTAATTTTCGATAAAAATAACAATGTGGCCTAATTGCATTTTACAACACTTAGAATAGTGAAAAGCAAATGACAGTCATTGGTAAAAGAGTTTAGTTTCGTACACATATGGAACTCGTCTAAAGCAAGTGAATTGATCCCGGTAGATATTCCATTTTTCAAACGAAAATCTGTGTTAGAAAGTTGAGTGTGTGAAGGAAAATTCTATATCTCAAATTATCTTAAAGTGCCCAAGAATTTATTAAAATTTGCTGAATGGCACTTGACAACACTTAAAATACCGCTGAAAAAAATACTTGCCTGAAAAGAGTGTTAGAAAATATATCGAAAACTCATAACGCTTTGCAGCACTGGCAGTCAGATAAAATAGCATGAATTACAACACTATATCAATTGTGCTAATAAACGTAATTTGTGAAAATCCTCTGGCTCACTACGGCTTTAATATGGTATGTTTTACGTTTTATGTTATTAATTTGTGAACGTCATCATTAAGTTTATAATTACATACATAGTTAATTTACATTTAAATATTTCATTTATTTACCTGCACACATTTGAGACTTCGTTGTCAAAGCTCAAAAATTTTTGACCGCTGTCATGTAGACGCTTCGCTTGCCACGCCTCCAACGCCTGTCACCAGAGCGCGTTCTGCTCGCTTGCCACGCCTCCACGCCGAAAAGGCGACGCCGTTGCGTCTGGCTGCGTGACGCAGCACAGCAACATCAACAGCCATAGCGCATAAATTTTGCATGCAGTCAGCCAATGTACACAGAGTGGTGCCGCTGTCGCTGCACCACCCAGCCGCACCGCAGCCATCTCCAATCCGCTGCCAGACAGTTAAAAATAGATTGCATCCTCGTCTGACCGATGCTGCATTAGCAGCAGCAACTGGAATCGTTTCAGTGCCGCTGCTTAGTCAGCGCAAAGCAGCCTCTGCCTGCCATCCTGTTCCACTCACACTCCGTTGATGGCTGCTCCACCATCACTACCCCCTCTCCTAATGAAGTAATCATGTGCGAGTGCGTTTTTTTCGGTGGTGCGTTTCGAGGCCATTTGCCGGCGGCTGCAATGCCACCACCCATTTGCGCAGCTTTCACAATTTCCATCAAGCATTCGTTTACCTGGCGCAGCCTAGGCCGATGCACCAACCCAAACCAACCCAACCACCCACCCATCCATCCAGTCGAACGACCACCCACTCACCCACCAAACGCAGCCGCCGTATTCGCCGCAAGGTCTTTTGCAAATTATGTGCGTCCAAGGCCTCGCAACAGTAGGCAGAAGCTCATCCGTCATTGGAGCATTCTTTTGGCGAGTCGTTTGCCTGCAACGCAGTTCCCTCACCTCTTGCCTCCTCTCTCTTGGTCCGCCTCCTATTCTATACTTCGTGCTCTCCCTCTCCGCCTCCGCCTCCGCTGCTTTTGGCTTTTTTTTTTTTGTGCTTTTAATTAAATGCATCGTCCGGACGGCGGCGTCCGAAACTCCGGAACTGCTGCATTTTTGACCATTATTCGATATTGGGGTGGCACTTATAGCACTCGTATCCTGAAGCGAGGGCTGTCAGTTAAGTTTACAATTAAATTTATAATTAATAGGTAAAGGTGGCTTTCAGAGGCGGCCAATTTTTGATGTCACTTTAATGAATATGAATAGTAACATATTTGTATGGGTCAAAAAATATATTATTTTA